GCCAAATCTGAATCATCGAAAGTAATACTCGCAGCTTCGTGGGGCCGTTTCGCTGGTATGATTTGCTTTTGGGGGTTAGGATGTGACTGAATTGTATGTACGGTGGATGTCATCGGCAAGTTGTATATCATATGGATTACACCGAATGGAGGTGAATCCTGCCGTAGAGCAACTGTTTTGGTTGAGTCGTTCTTTCAGACGTGTTGCTTAAGCCGACCGTTTTGTACCAACTCCTCAAGGTGATCCTTTAAAGCATAACAACTTTCAGTATCATGATCGTGGTCTTTGTGATATTCGCACCGCCTATCCCGTCTCCTTGTGTCGGGAGGTCCCACCATCTTGGGTGGCCATTTGAAAAATGGCATATGTTGTACTTCAGACATAACCGTGCTGATCGGCTCTGACAACTCCGTATATTTCTTGTCCGCACGCCTTATGCGCTTGCTATCCACTTGAAGTTGTTCATTAGACCGGTGTGGACATTGGTCGTTTGATCGGCGCGAATCTCGTCTTTTGTCTCGTTAAGTCCGATTTCGTGGTTCAGGGCTCCATGATGGTACATAATTTATCGGCTGAACGATTTCAGATGGGGCCATCTTGTTGGCCTTGTGCCTGGCTTTGACCTGCAGGGCGTCATCTTCCACTTTGCAATATTCCTCGACTCTCTTCATCAACGACCAGACTGTTTTGGGGGGCCTTCTGGTTAAGGAGCTGCGGAGGGCACTATTAGGATGTAACTCCATTTTAAAGGCGGTGATGGCCATGGAGTCATTACAGGCATCATCTATGAGATTAAAGCATTCCTAATAGCGCCGAATACGCTTGTAGGGTTTTCCCTGGTTGGATTTGCATTGCCTAGAAAGAATCGGCCTACTTCGGCTGGACCTCATTGGTGCTGAACCTTGCGCTGAAGGATTTTTGGAGTTGATAGAAACTCTTAATTGATGCCGGCTCCAATTTATACTACCATCTAATGGCCAAAGGTCCCAAACTACTCGAAAATATTTGACACATGAGGGCCTCGTCGTCTGCATGTAGCGCCATGGCTTGCTTATAATGATGGATATGATTTGTGGGGTCTGATTTTCCATCGTATAGGGTGAACGATGGAGATTTGAAATTTTTGAGTAGCACTGCCCTTGCGATCCTTCGAACAAAGGGGTCATGTTGATCCTCTTCGTCTGAACCATTTCTTCGTTGCTTATTCCGTGCACGCAGACTTTCTTCGGAGGAACTGGAGGTTTCGACTCGTCCCTTCTTTTTTGGATTCTGAGGATGATGAGTCAGAATCACCGTCACTATCTTGTCTCCGAACTCGAGGTCGTCGACCATCCTTTCTCAGAGGTTGTCCTGGATCTTGACATGCAACTTGTTAGGATTTTGCCACCTCCAAGGCCAAATCCTGTCGAAGGCGCTCGTTCTCAACGATCATGTTTTCCAACCTCTGTTCGTTTTGCTTCGCCTGATCCATAATCGCTTGCATTGTCTCATGTGCTGATGTCGAGGGTGAGGTCTGGGCAACTAAGTCGAAGTTCAAGGTTCTTCGTGGGCAATGGTCTCGGGCCCAAGCATGTTGCTTGGAGTGGTTTTGTCTCGTCACGTAAGGTCATCAGTGACTATCGGAGGATCTTCTGTTACGCCCGCCATGGATATGCTGGAGTATTCCCACAGGCGGCGCCAATTGTAGAGAAGTGGTTCAGAAATACTCTTTGGATCCAGTAGGACGCTCGTGTTCCTCAGCTAGTCACCTGAAAAGGAATGAACGCTCCGGTCGGGGGTGTCGGAATTAGTACTCCGACGGATAAGTCAGTGTATAGTCTCTTGGTTGCTTATATCTCAAATTAAACTTATTTGTTCTCACATGCCTCTTTTGGCTGGTGCTCCTCTTATTTATAGTCATCATCGATGTTGATGGTTAGGCCCACCTTTCGTCCAACGAACAATCGCTCATTCGGTTATATCTTCATATTCGAACCAATCTACAACTGGTATATAGGCCGATCTGGATATTCGGCCTCTGTCCCTCGGGGCTGGCACCGTATAGTACATGATCTAGTTTCCTTCTTTATTATATTCGGCTATCCCACGTAATAATTTACTTGGCCCCCACAAAGGTTAGTGTGCAAATCTTATAAGAGACTTTTTATATTTTAATTTTTACATATAAAAATATTTAAAAAAAATAATAATAAATAAATATGTCACAGTTCGATTCGAAACCATAGCCAAAGCCTTAGAACTAGAATTCGAACCAATTTAAATGATTCTACCATTTTCAAAACCAGAACCGAAACTAATAAAAATCAAATCAGGCCGATGATTTATACTAGAGTGGATTAGTTTACTGGTTCCGCCAATTTTCTTATACACCCCTAAAAAATATGATACTCGGTCTGGGCCGAATCTATTGTACAACTCCACAGCCCAATTTTATATATATATATTTGAAAATATGTATTGGAGTGTTTATAACTTCAATTTATAGTTTATGAAATAGAAATAATAAAATATAAATAAAATTAAAATTAAATAATTATCTAAAAATTGGCATGTGAGAGAATATCTTATTGACCCAGATAATTGTGGTTGCTCCTGCAAATCATAAATCTTTATAGGCCCGTTTGTTTTCAGAGGTAGAATGGAGGAGATTGATAGTGAAGGGATTGATAGTGAGGGGATTAAATAAAATTATGTTTATTTTTATGATAGTTGTTAGTGTAAGGATTGTTAAATTATTTTTATATAAAATAATAAAATAAATAAAAAAAATACAAAAACATTGAACATTAATGTTTTAAAAAAAAATGTCCAACATGTAAAAAATTTTAAAAAAATAAAAATAAAATAAAATAATTTCAGAAAAAAATAAAATAAATAAAATCATGATTTTTACTTAACAAAAAATTAAACATTAATGTTGAAAAAAAAATACCTGACATGTAAAAAATAAAATAAAAATAAAAAATTTCTAATCCGCTGGATTATTTTTCTAATACCAAGTCCTGGAGGCCCATCCGAATTCCATCTGCAAGGCCTATCCTAAGCCATTCGGCTTAACAGTCTCTTCCTCAACTTTGTAAACAAACAACACATTAAATAGGGTTCACAGCTATCTTAATGCCAATCTCCCTCTCATATCCCAAAACAAACGGGACCATAGGGTTATCTTCATAGGGTTTTCTTTAATTCGGATCCAAACTCAATGCCCAGTTTGAGCAAAGAATCCCTGCTATGTTAGGATGCTTGTAAATTAATAATTTAGATTTTGTTTGCATACTTACAAATCTATTATTAGATTCAAACAAAAATTTAGACCAAATATTTTATAGAGTAATGGATAAACAAAATTTAAAAAATTAATTTGTAAAAGGTGCCAAATTGGCACAATTTGAGAATCGGGACCGTTCTTTCTAATCCATGCCTCGATAGGAGAGAAGTGATTTCATGCAACAAGAAATCGTTAGCAAAGTGGAGCGTCACATGAAATGGAAAACAATTATTGAATTAGTGATTTCACTCTTTGATTTTTATCGTAACGGTCAGGCAATGTAAATGTTTAGAAGAAAAGCAAAATATTATTTCAACAGTGTCGGGACTCTAGCACCCCACTTTCACGTGGAGGTTATGAGAGCAAGATTGAAAAAATAAAATAAAATAAAATTGAACCAATCAAAAGACAGTAAAGGTGGTGGGAGTCACCCTACTAGAGGTCTGGGGCATTTTCTATATTATTGTGAGTTTTGTAAGATTGAAATTTGCGAGACAAATTGTTGAAACTTGTGCTTTATATAATAGTACAAACATATATATAGAACAAAAATTGGTGATGCCTAGATTAGTTTTAGTGGAGTAAGTGGAGTAGGTGGAGTAGGTGTAGTGGAGTAGGTGGAATAGATGTGTGTACATTAACAGCCCCCCTCAAACTCAAGGAGGATAGGAACTAACCAACTTGAGTTTGAAGAGAGTAACAAAACAGGAAAGTAAACTGATAAAGAAAATAAAACAGGATAGGAGACACGGTATGGTCGTGTCAGACCGTTGTAGGAGACACTTTATGGTCGTGTCACACCGTTGGAGAAGATAATGTCTGGACAGTTTACGAGGTCATGCCGGACCGATGTAGCAGACACTGTGTGGTCGTGTCAGACCGTTGTTGTAGAAGCTAACCGGAATAAATGTCGGGACAGTTTACGGGGTCATGTCGGACCGTTGTAGAAGCTGACCGGAATCAATGTCGGGACAGTTTATGAGGTCATGTCGGACCAATGTAGAAGCTGACCGGAATCAATGTCGGGACAATTTATGGGGTCATGTCGGACCGTTGTAAAAGATTGTGGTGGTGCACCAAGGGGTGAAAATTAAGGAAATTAAGGAAATTTGGGTTTGTCCGGCGGGCGGCCAAGGCGAGATTGTCGCCCGCCGGTGGAACGAAAATACTATGTTCTTAACCTAACTCTGATACCATGTAAAAATAAATTGATAGAGAGAGAATAAATTGTATGTATTATTATTGATATTATTGATTGTTGTATTGTATGTACATTATATAGGAGATGTGGGTGGAGAGTGGAGTAAGTGTAGGTGTAGTGGAGTAGGTGGAGTAGGTGGGTGTACATTAACAGTTTTCAAAAGCCATTTTTTGTTTCCCCCCCCAAAAAAAGTTAAAAACTAATTTGTTAAAAAAAAATTTAAAAAGCACTCATTATTTTTGTATGTTTTCTCTTTCTTGGATCAAAATAATTTCTGAAAATTTTAAAATATTTTTTTTAATGTTTGTCAAATTAATTTTTATTTTTTAAAATTAAAAAAATATATATTAAAAGTAAACTAAACATGAATAAATGGAAACATATTGTATTCATTCATCACCAACAACAAAAAATTGTTCTTACTTTGCTATTACAACCACCCATCTTCTTCCAAAAAAAGAAAAAAAAAGTACTCCCTAAAATCAGAATATAGCTACTGTAAAAAAAAAAAAAAACATCAAAAGCAAAGCTTAATTAACCATCTACTGCTGCAATAATATATATATATGTTTTTTTGAACTGAGAGAATATGTAAATTTCATACATTGCCATCTCCTATGTTTTTGACTCATATCATATTGTTCTATATTAGCCGATATATGACTGTATCACTGATACTGATATATATTCTAAAACTGTTATTTAAAACCATGATATGAACACTTACAACAACGATCAATTCATCCGCCATGCCTTCATTGTGGGTTTTTCTCACACCATCGGTGAAATGTGGTTGAGTCATTTTTTGGCAAAAAATCAGGTCGCTGCAACATGAAACATATATATTTCTGAATCAATATGGAGCTTGTGGATATGGAAAAAAATGCAAAAAATTAATCAAATTGTTCAAACAAAAAGGCATCAAAAAAATATTAACAGAGGATTTTTGTGACATTGTATTTGTCGAATAATTTAAAAATCTCACTGCAACAAGCTTCAAGAATGTATAAAAATTGTTTACCATTTTTGAATTATTTTTTGAAATTAAGTGGTTTTTTTGAATTGTGTTTTCAAAATATGACTTTAAACTTGATTTTGTGCTATCAAAATTCGATTTCATACTCAAAGTCATGTTTTCAAAATATGACTTCATAAAACAAGAAAGCATATATATGCATACTCGGTAGAATTGCTCAGTTTCTCCTTCTAGTGGCATCACCTATTACAATTCTTTTACGCACATAAGAGCCTATTCAGAACATAAGTTTCCATATACCCAAACACAGCAAAATCTATATAATTTTTTGCATTTTGTAGACTAATAATAATAATAATCCCATCTTCCCCCAACCCCACGCGAAACTTCAAACACCGCAATGGATTAAGAAGGGGAGAAAAAGAAAACAAATGAAATAATGCAAGGCATTCCAAATGATTTGAGCACCCAACATGTTTCAAATTCATCAAAAAAAGAAGCAACCAACCATATGTTCCATTGATAAAAACACATATTTTGTTTGAGGAAGCCATACCTTGCCTCTGAAAGATTTGATGACAGCACTTAACAACTCATCTCCTGCTATCTGTCTCACTCGCTGTATGAATTCATGTCGCGCCATTTTTTTTTCCTGAAAGGCAAAATTCTAGAAGAGGGTTATGAAACTGAAAAGGAAACATATAAAGGGTATTCATTTACATTGCCACAAATGCCTTGGATTGTTACTTACTCTATGATGAGCATGATACTTGGAAATTAAACTAATGGCATGAGTAGGTAAGAACTTAGAAAGTACTGAGATCAGAGTAGAAAATGGCATCCACGGCGAAGTTGGTATCCTGTGCCAACCTAATCAATTTGAAAACACAACCAAATGAGTGTTACAACTTGACCTAATTGACACCGGGAGTGTTATAACTTGACCTAATTGACACCAGGAAAGAAAGTCAATCTACTCACCCGTTGATGGATAAGTAACTCTGAAACTTATGATGTACTCTGGCAAAATGTGAGTATTCACGTGGGTACTCCACACTATATACTTCTTAGGAGATACAAGATTGTCGACGCCAGAATCAAACTGTTCAGAACTCGGATGAAACTGTTCAGACCCGGGATGGACAAGTTCAGTGTTTCCCAAGATAACGCGACAAAGCAACACATGCCTTAACCCATCTTCATCAACAATGGAAGATTTCAAACTGTGGATGCAAATAAATCAACAAGTTACATCTCTTCTTGTAAAGCACGATAGTTTCCTGATAATTCTCTATAGACAAGCCTAAAAAATCAAATACCTATTAGATATCTGTGCAACAATTTCTATTTCGGGGTTCACATATAAAATTTGAAATCAAAAATGGATTTATCTCTTCTTTTAAAACATGATAATTTATTGATATTCTCCATAAACAAGCATATAGAAATTAAATACCTCATTAGATATTTGTGTAACAATTCCTAATCCGGGGCTCACATTTACTCATGATAATTGAAATCGAAATGGATACATTACATTACACTTGATAAAAGACAACAATCATCATATATATTGACAAAAAATAATGAACTATCAACTATATACTTGCAAAATGCATTCTGACTTAAAAATGTTCAGTGATAATTCAAAAAATGCTATGAATACTGCTTACCTATCAATAGATGAATCATCGGGAGAGAGATAGATGCCACAACCATACAATCCATTGTTCCCAGCACCCCCACAATGACCAAAACCATGAGTGATAATCTTGCCAATCTCATCCTTAGAAGCACCATACCAAGCATACCTCAAATTCGCATTACCGACACACTTCTTCTCCATTGCGCGGGCAAAAACATGAAACGATTGAAGCCTAGCTTGTCCTAGAAAGCTAGAACAAGAATTTCTGTGGATTGAAACTACAGAGGTATGCATTCCGAGAGACCCCAAACCCGAAATGAATTTTCGGTTGATGAACTCGTGCAACTTATCATCTTCAGGAACTTTGATTAACCCATCACCAAACAACTGAGATTGCTCAATGTTTGGTCCTGATATCCCACTTTCACAGTCTGAAATTGATTGATCTTGATCTTGATCATGATCATGATCTTCACTACCAGAAAGTTTAAATTCTATGTTGTTAGAAGCTAAATCTCTGAACCCATTTACATATCCATTGGTAGTTTCCAATGGAACAGAGAACAACCGACATTGATGTCGACTACTATCAGCCTCCATTGATAGAGAATTAGAGAGAAATTGAATCTATAAATCACAGAAACAAGCTTGAACCCAAAATCAAAGAAAGAATAAAATCAAGGTTCAGGGACTTTGGATCAACAAAAAAACAGAAACCCAGATCAAATTGACCATCAAAACGTGAGAATATAAAATCAAACTCTACGCGGAATTGAATTCTAATTCGTTTTTTGAGTGGAAGGAAAAAAGAAGAGAGAATTAGAATATTTACCGAACCAATCCGCAAGAAAATCAAGTCCAGTACACATTTCCAGTTGTTGTGAGGACTATTCCAAGCCTGACTCTGCAAAATTAGATTCAAACAAAAAAAGAAAAAGAAAAGAGATTCATGAACATGGAACCGCCATGAATGAGTGAAAAAGTTTGAAATATTGAATTGAAGATGGACAAAAGTCTGTTTGAAAGTTGATATACTTGAAAACCGAAATCAATTACCAGTATGATATTTACTCAATCTACAGATATAGAACATTTTATATGCATATATATATATATATATATATTTGTATGTATTTAAATTGAGAGTTGCATTGGAGAACAAGTATGAGAAAATGGAATGGATATCAGAAGTTTTTATAAAAACGCACAGAAACACCGCCTCACGTTTTATTTGTTTTTTGGGGGGTTAGTAAATTACATTTACCGCCTTTACATTTTGCCAAAATTTTCATTTAAAACCTCCCATCTCATTTTTTTGACTAGTTTGTATGCATTTTGATAATTTGAATAGTTTAAATTATCAAATTTAATGTGTAGATTATTTATATAAAAAATTAAGTCGATTGATAGATATGTGATCTATTTACATTTATATAAAAAAAAAGTCTATTTTTTAAATTACATTAATCATTCATTTTATTAAAGAGAAATATGATTCGATCATGTAGCTGTCAAAATTCGATTAATTTGATTTTTTGTATCAATGATTTGCATAACGTCTTATAATTTGAACAATTCAAATCACTAAGACAAATATAGAACTGTAGAAACTCGCCCCTTTAGTCCAAAAATAAGATTAGAGACAAGTTACTTCCATTTTAATTCGACTTTTATTTAAATTACAATAAAAATCTAAAAATTACAAAACCGAATACAACCATATTTCCATCACATAAGTTTCACATCTACGTGCGAAGATTATGTTTGATTCAGTAATTGGTTCATATTTAAGCAAAATGACTTAATTACATTTATTAACACATTATATATACTTTTTATTAAATTTTATTTTTTTAAATATATATATATATATATATATATATTATTTACATGATCACAATTAAAAATGAAAGTAAAATTTTAATAAAAATATAAGAATAATGTTACATGTATCAATTAATACACACACTAGTGTACTAACAGATGATATAGCATCATTTGTATGATTTTAGATATTTGTAACTTGTATAATAAATGTGGTCAATAATAATATTATAACATTAATTAATACACTAATATGTACACTAATTAATAAATGCAGCACTACCGAAAATTTTTTTTAAAATATAATTTTTAATTTTTTATATTTTTTTATTTGTTTTATTATTTTATATAAAAATAATTTAACAATTCCTCACTACTAATCCCCTCACTATCAATCCCCTCACTACTAATTCCCTCACTATCAATCCCCTCATTAATAATTCCCTCACTATTAATCCCTTCACTATCAATCCCCTCTATTCTATCTCCCAAAACAAACGGGCCTCTGTGTGTAAATTAAAAATTCAAAACTAGTACTTCATGGGCAGGGTGTGAGCGCAAATTGTTTTCCTTAGTAGATGGGATTTGCTTGCTGGGGGCGGTCGTTTTAATGAGGCTACCGTGGGCGGTTAAAGTAACCTCTCCTGTCCTGTCCGGAACTTTGTGAACATTTATGAATTCTCAATTATACCTTTCCTTATCTTCAAGGAGCCTCCTGTGATATTTTGAGAAGGTAGTAAAAAATTAATATTTTGATTTTTTTAGTTTATTTTATTGTTTTATGAATAAAAAATACGGGAAGTTATATAATTCAAAATGAATAAAAAATTAAGAGCTAGCTTTTTTCATGTCCACCCAAACAAGCATGGCCTAAGAGTATTAGTAGCGTGTAAATACAATCTCCTAATAATTTTTTTATTTAAAAAAATAAAAAAATTCTCTCTCAACTCAGAGTTTATCAATTAAATAATAAATAAAATAATAATTGATTGGTGTTTATAATACACGACTCTTTTTTTTGGGGGGGGAGGGGTGTAAAATATTTTTTTATTGTGGGAATTTTTACCCTATTTAGTGTAATTTTTAGTGGTAAATAAAAATAAAAATAAATACCTTCATAAAAGTAGAAGAAAAAATGATTGTTAAGAAGATAAGAACGAAATGGTTTTTATTTCAATTAGGAGCGCACAAGACATCCAAAAAGCCCTAAGAGATCAATCTACCCTTGTTTGGTAACAGACTTAATTTTTTAGTTTTTTGGTTAAAATGTGATGTAAAAAAAAATTAGTACGTTTGAGATATTTTTTGTCTTTTTACGAAAAAATGTGCAAAAAATAGAGGAAAAAAAAAGAATATTTGACTTTTTGGTATGGTTTGTTGGCTTTCTGATTTTTTTAGTGACTTTTTGACTAAAAAAGTCACTTACCAAACGAGACCTATGTGTTGAGTTAATCAGGTTTTGTCAATGCATTGATTTGGTTTTTGGGTCTAAAAGTAGAGAGTGTGGGGTTTCTCTCCTGTCCATATAAGATTGCAGGGTGTTATTAGGTTTTCATGGACCCATCATGGAGCCTATATCGTTACTTTGAACTATTCAATGTGTATGACTTGTTGAATATTTCATCTATATAAAAAATTATGTTAATAAGATATTGATAGTCACTTGATCATATAAAATTTATGTCAACGGTATGTGTGATTTTAAAAATAAATTGTTAATATAAATATGATATGATCAAGTGGTTATTGATATTTGAACAATATGATTTTTTATTTTTTATTTTTATAAGAATAAAGTATTCGATAAATTTTACATATTAAATGGTTTGAAAATCATAGATGTGAACTTTGTATTGGGCTCAAAGAAGCCCAATATCACCCTCCCATTGGTTTTTTCAACTAGGGAAAAGCCTTCTCCAAGTGGAAAACGCTATTAGATTGATTCCGTTCATGGATTAAGCCATAATCCAAACTATCTCAAAACCCAAATTTATGTATATTTTACACTATTTTATTTATATTGAGATGTCTCTATATATATGGTCAAAAGCAAGTACTCAGATGGGTGTTGCTTTAAAACCATTTTATTTGTCAGCTAAATAAACGCTACATTAGATCTTAGAAGTTGTTGAATTTACAGTATTCTTAAGTTTAATCAACATGTTTAGTTCTAGAAAATTGTGTTCACTTTTTAAAAAATTACTTTTTTATTTTCTGTGTTTTTTATTTTTTATTCTTTATTTTTAGTGAATTTTTTAAATATTTTATGCAACTTTCTTATTTTTTAAATACACATAATCTAAATATGCTTAAATAGGTATAAGGTAAATTACACTAACACCCCTGACGGTTGGTCCGATTATATTTTCATCCCTAACATTCTACATTGGACCGGTTAGAAAAATCTTGATGACATAAGCAAAAGAAAAGTATAAGGGATTGAATTGTCCTTTGGGACCTTAAAAAGTCATTTGTAGCCTTATACCTTATTTAAAATTACCAATATATCAAAAATAAAAGTTCATTTACAACAGACACTACACCATTCCACTTGTATTTGCAGTTCATTTACCCAAAAAGTATGGCTTGTGGTACCCTACTTAAAACAAACCCGGTTGGTAGCTCAAAAATTCGTGGGTCGAATGGGTCGAATGATCAAAACGACGTCGTTTTGATCTTTGTATTTTTTTTTTTTAGCAGAAGGAAGAGGAAGACGAGGGGAGGAAGAAGGAGGAGGAGGGGAGGGGAGGGGAGGAAGAGAAGGAGGGGGAGAGGAGAGGAGGGGAGGGGAGGGGGCCAACAAACTCGGGGCTGAGGCAGGGGCGGAGGTGTGGCGGCGAGGCAGAGGCAGAGGCGGAGCTGCGGCCAGGACGGCGAGGCGACGAGGACATCAGCAGAACCAGCACCCCGTCTCCCTCTCTTCTCCTTCTCCTCTCTGCTCTCCCTCTCTTCGAATTCGACCCAAATTTCGACCCACGAAATTCGAGCACCCACCCATTTTTCTACTTAAAATTACCAATATACCAAAAACAAAGGTCTAATTACAGCAAGCACTACACCATTTCATATGCATTTGCAGTTCATTTACCTGCCAGATACGGCTTGTGATAGGTAAAAAGCACAAAAGGGTATTATTATCCACGTTTGGTTTTAGAAAATTGAGTCCACTTTTTAGAAAATTATTATTTTTTATTTTTCATGTTTTTTTATTTTAAGTCAATTTTTTATTATTTTACGCTAATTTTTTTTTAAATACACCTAATGTAAATACGTTTATAATGTATAATATTTGTGGAAAAAAAAACTTTAAAAATTCATCAAATACAAAAAGAATAATCCTTCGTAGCTCAAATCTTTCTTCCCCGAATCCCCCGTTTTGGGTAGTTTCTTTTTTTTTTTTTCCTCCTCCTTATGTCTGAAACAGAGAGAGCAGAGAGAAGAGAGAAGAAGAGGAAGAGAAAGAGAGAGAAAGAGAGAAAGAGAGAAAGAGAAGAGAGGGGAAGAGGGAATGAAGAGAGAGAGGGTTGATCACCGCCGCCTCTGTCTCCGATCATCGCAGCCCGGCCTCCGATCTCTTATCTCCACCTGCGATCTATGTATGAGGATGATGTGTTAAAGTTTTTTTTTTTTTTTTTTTTTTTTTCAGATTTTTACATTTTTTTTTGTTGTTGATCTCTTTGTGGGTTTAGAAACTATACCATTTCAACATTTCAGATGTGATGATGATGATAATGTGTTTGGTCTCTGCTGTGTTGATGAAGATGTGTTGGGTGGTTAATGATGATGATTCTTTCTCTCTCTCTCTGGCTCTGCTACTCTCCTATTCTCTTCTTCTTCTTCTTCTTTTTTGATTTTTCTTCTTCTGCCAGTTATTGAAAAAAAAAAAATTAAACGGCGAAACGACGTCATTTTGAGTTCGAGCCAAATTTGAGCTCGAAAATTTTGAGCTATGTAGCATAACTGATACAAAAAAATAAAAACAATTCAATACATTTTTGTACTGTATTCAATGGATTTTTTTTTTAATTTTTTAATTTTTTTATAGATTTTTGTACAAATTTTTTACTTTTAAGTATTAAGATTAAGTGGTTCTAATTTTATATATTTTTTTTTTATAAAAAAATTGATTAAAATATTTAACAAAATATTAAAAATGTAAAAATATGAATTGAAAATTCATAAAACTATTTTTAAAAATTCAAAACCAAACAGGGTGATTGTCATTTTCTCTAAAATGACATGAACAAAATATCTATATTTTTTTATTAGTTTCTACATATTAAGGTTTAGGTGCAAAAATGTTTTTTTCATCCCAACATTAACTCCGTCAAAATAATTACAC